AATTCACCTCAAACACCGTCTAACCTCCTTTTTAATAGACCAGCGGATCAATTAAAAACATATGATTGGCTGACCACCCCCCCCTTCCCCTCCCCCCACCACCACAAAGGAAAGCATATAAGGACTACAATGCAATAAGACTGCAGACTGTAATGTTTGCGAAACGTCTGCGCAACGCTGAATCCAAACGCGGCATCCATCCGGAAGCCAAAGATGGATTTCTCTCTCTTTTGTACTTCCGATGTTTCGTACTTAGAATAAGAGAAAATATAAAGGTTGAGAACGAATAAAAAGTTGTGTTATTTCTCTTCTCACGAGATTTACGTCAGCCCCCGTATCCACAAAGAATTGACCTCTCCCCGCTTTTATTCTATTAACTTTTAAATGAATTTGAGTGGGGGGTACATCAATTACGCGGAAATTTATATGGGTCGTCTTATATATCGTGTTCTGCGCGTTTGACTCGCCAATGTCCCCGAGTCCCAGATCGCGCAGTTTCTCCGGACTCACTTCTAGTTTAAATTTTAAGAGGGGCCGGCGACAGCAGTCGGTTCTGTCTGTTGTCCCTCTCCCTTGGTTTTGCTAGAAGTCGCGTTTCTTGGGGGTTGTTTTTTATTTGATGTGCTGGGGTTCTGCAATCCCGTGCAAAGTATTCGGGCTAAGCACACCGATAGCAGCCGTTATCGTTGGTGCTCGGTTTCTTTCCCCGCTTATCATATTGTTTCCCCCCTTTGTACTCTGGTTTGCCTTTGGCTTTGCCAGAGCCGCGTTTCTGTCCGTCGGCTTTTGCTAAAGTCGTGGCCTTAATGCTCATTTCCCTTAAATCAGCCTCAAGGGCGTCATCATCGATTGATTCGACCTTTCGAATTTTTCCCTTCCCTTGAGATTACTTTGTTTTCGCGTGCAATTTTCTAAGGTGTTCGAAATCTTCTGTTTCTTTGAGTTTAGATTCGATCATCACGGCTATCCCAACGGCTTCATCGAAAGAGGTGGGTGTCAGAGAAAACATCACGTTTTTTATGTCCCTTCTGAGTCCCGCGAGAAAAGCTTCTCTCATATTTAGTTTAATTCCGTGAATGTTAATTCCGTAGTCTGCCGTCGGGTCCGTGTCGAGTCGCCTCTGCGCTTTTAATTAAAGGGCCCTGAATCGCGCTTCATAGTCCGTCACTGACTCCCCGTATTGTTGATAGAGGCGTGACATTTTCGCGAGAATTCGACGCAGGTTTTCCCTCGTACCGAACGACAGGCGAAGTTTCAGAACGAGATCATCGAGTGAATTGATGCTGGTTAACGCGTTTTCCACAGCCAATCTTGCTTTTGGGCCAAATCTCGGCAAGCATTGGTGCGAAAAATTTAATTCGTCTCCCGGTCTTAAGAGTCTGCCGGACATATTTAGGCTCGTAATGAACCTTTCTGTGTCGTCCCCAACTTCATACTTTGGCAGCGGTCTGATCGCGTTCCTCACTCTCTGATCCTCCCCCAAAGGAGTGATCTGCCTATGGGTTATAACCCATTGGTAACCCGTAGTTTTGTCCTGCGAGACCTGGATTAACCTCTAGTCCTGTGTTTGTACCCCCAGGATTGCCATTTGAGCTAACACTCTCAACATTTATTCCTGGAGCCGCACTGAATCTTCCCAGGCCAAAATTCGTTCCTCCAAATCTCGCGTTTATGTCCGACATTGGGCTTCTGAGTCCCACTTCCGGCCTACCGAATCCGTAACCCATATCAAATGTTCGTCCTATGTCTATATCTGGGCTTCCCGTCGCGTAATTCCTGGCCAACGTCGGATTGTATGGTCCCAGCCCCAAATCTGATCTATTGAATCGATAATTATTTCCATACGCTGAGGCCGGTTGCTCCAATCCTAGATCCGGTCTATTAAACCCCGCGAAAATTCCCGATGTTGGGGAGGTAAATGCGAACGGTTGGGAAATACCAATTGACGTGGGCGCGACCGAACTTGTGCTCATTCTGGAATGTAGAGTTGTAAAGGTTATGGTTGTATTTGCTGTGCATGATGCAACTGATGGATTAGTCGTCGATGCTTTGCAGTTGACCGGTTCCGTTGGCACTCCTGTCGTTACCCCATTTGATACTCCCTCCGTGTCTATTCTAGCTAATTCTAATCCTGAGAGGTACGGTCTCGAGTCACTGTTCCCTCGATCGCGTCGACGAGTCCGACTGGTCAAGGATCGCGTTGAACGGGTAGGAAGAATTTTGAGCCTTTTTGGTACTTACGCAGACCCAAAGACGGCTAACAGAAGCCAGATGTGCATCTTCTCGTTTTGGATCTCGTTCGTTGTCTCTGCGCGTTGCTTCTCTGCTAGTTGTCACTGCTACCCGATTTAGCGAGTTGTCTCTGGTAGTTTTCTCCGCTAGCGGTTCTCTGCTAGTTGTCTCTGCTACCCGATTCAGCGAGTTGTTTCTGCTTTCCGATTTGGCGAGTTGTCTCTGCTTTCAAATTCGGCTGTTGGCTTCTTGTGATGACGTAGAGCCGTTGTTTTCTTGCGAAATCCACTTTTTGGGCGTTCTCCCTTCCTCTCTTCCTCTTTTTTTTTTCACAAATGTGAAATGTTCGACACTGAACCGTATCCTATGAGGTTGAAGCAAGAGACTGAATTGTGTCGTCTGTTCTTTGACCGTCGGCTCTTCTCAATACATGCGTATACGACTAGGTTCTTCACTGTATCCCTTCAGCTCTGGAATAGCATCACATAAAATTTTCCTTGTGCTTGCACTCGATTCCCCGAATGACTGCCAAACTAGTCGGGTACCAATGTGACGTTATGAGTTTTACCCGGAGGTAAAACTCAGTGAATTTTTGTCCTTTTCCGTCGTACTATTACTGTCAGTGAGCGGAATCTCCTTTTTCACTACACCTTTACACATATTCCTGCACTGTACTCCTTTGTACGGTCACTTAATCCTTAGCTAACTTCGGCGGTGAGCTCACAGGGGATTCACTCACTCGGAGGGATGTTAGGAAAAGTATGAAGAAATATTACTTGGTGATGTTCTAAATAAACACTCGCATATTTAGTCGGTAAAAGTATGGTATATTAATTGTTGGTTGTTTGAAATATACGACTCGGTTTACTATGGGTTGGTATACGTGTGATTAAGGCTCGACTAGGGACTTCGACTCGATTTGTTGGCTGAAGGCCTGAGCTAGAGGTCCGCTCGACTCTGCTCCTGATCGTACTCTGGTGCTTCCAGAGTCCTCAAAACTTGGCAAAGCCCCAATTCGCTGAGCTAAGCAGTCTCACGGTTTTCTCCACTAACACTATCTCGTGTCATCATTGACAGAGACTTAAACAGTCAAACAGTTCATCGTTCTGAACTGGACTCCTGAAAAACCGTGGGACTGCTTACCACGGTGTCCAAATGACACCGCGGGATTGCTGACCAGTGTCTGGACGATAGGAAAAAGAAATCATATTTCTCGTTCCCACCATCCAGCATTATATTATTATTTTAGGTTCCATGTCTATATCTCACAAAACAAACTCAACACGTCAATTCAACACACGACATTTCAACACACAACAAATGCAACACCAACAAAGTCAACACAATCAAACTCATCATAACACAATTTAAACATGCGTAATAATCAACACAAATCAAACAAAAACACCATTACATGTACTCTGGATGTCAACAAACACATCGAAAATATCATCATTGGGCATCCAAAGGAAAAGATAATAAAACTCCCAGCTATCTTCGTAGTATCCAACCCATATCCATTTGAAATATAAATATATAGACACCAATACGAAAAAACAAACGAAACCAACCCAACCGTATACCTCACAATCGAAGAATAATCCGTACGGTGAAAACTCTGATCGAGCACACAAGCATCACCATGCCGTTACATTTTGTAATAAGTCAACGAGGTAAACGACAACTAACTAGGCATCGCCCATAACATCAAATTATAAATAATAATGATAAACCCATGGAATATACTCACTCGCGCTGATCAAATTGATATAACCACGTTCACTTAATAATATACTTGAATGTGTTTTTTGTGAAAAATAAAATGATGTGTTTAAATAAATTGATGTTGAAATTGAATATGATGGAAAAACCGAAGGATGAAATAGTTTTCGTAGACAATGAAAATGTTGAATTGACGTATTGTGCTGAAATGACGCTGTGGAGTTTAGACGTGTCACCTTATTTTATATAATTACCAACTAAATCGACGTATTGATCGATCGCAATACGTCACAAGGAGTTTCAAAAGAGGGAAATAGAACCTCAAAATTTTAATTGGACGAATTTTAGAGAAACTGAAATTTCCTTTGTAACAGAAGAAACAGCAGAAAAAGTCAGCGGGACACATAGAGACACGAAAATATTGGTGTCTATAGGAGTGCGAATGCGGTGCAGTGTAGAATCCACAGCCGCATGCATAGGGTTGGATAGGGCCGATTAGCCAATCAGAGGGCAGAAAGGGCCAGAATGAAAAAAAAAAACTTTTCGTCAGGGGTTTTTTATTTTCAATTTTTCTGTTTTTCTGTTTTAAATAAGTCAATTGACAACTTCTTCTTCAGGGGTTTTTACTTTTCAATTTTATGAACTTTAGTTATTTTATTTAACCCTTTTTCAGTTTTTAAATAAGTTAATTGAAACCTTTTCTGTCGAGGATTTTTAATTTTTAATTTTTCAATTTTTCCGTTTTTTTGGTTTTTAAATAAGTCAATTGACAACTTCTTCGTCGGGGGTTTTCAATTTTCTAGTTCTCAGTTTTTTTTACCCTTTCCTGCATAATTTAACCCATTAATTACTCTAAAGATGATTATCCTCCATTTGAATCTTTCACGCGCAGAATCATAAGTATGAACGAAATTTCACTGCTACCAAGCCATTTTCGTTTTTGCTTGCTAGGGAATTACGGTTCAATCTAGTCACCTTCATCGAATTATTTTTTTGGAAAAACTTTTTAGAAAAACGGAGTGATTGATCAATAAAAAGGTTTCGTAGTTCGATTCCTTGGAGTGTTTTCTTCATTTGTAATACAAAAACTCATTTTTTCGAATCGTTTTTCATGTAGTTTCGTCCGGACGACAACGTTACAGAGTTAGGTTACCGAGTGTCAAAAGCATATACCCCTACCTTTGGTTTGACGTCAGCTGCGTCAGCTAAAATTGCTGGAATAATATAAATATATAAATGGCGATTCAATCAACTACATAAGTGGATAAACATATGTAGATCAACATTCAATGAATGAGCGAAATCTCTACTGAGGTTAATAAATTATTAAAAATTGAGTAACAGTTGATTAGTGTAGTGATGAAATCGATCAACTGAGAAGAATTTATTGTGGAATCCTGAGTGAAGTTCACACACTATTTTCCATTTTATTGATGAATAATGCGGTTGAAGATAACGATAGTGAATCAGAGGATTGCGTTATAGCGTATGCAAATTCTCGAGCCGTCCAGGACGCTGCTAACAGGATTCATAATTACTTCGAGATAAATATCGTGATAAGCTCGGAAGTGCAACTCCAGTCAAATTTTCGGATGTTCAGAAACACCTTCAACTGGCTTTTCAGAGAATTATCACCATCACTATCCAGTCCACGAGTATGTGGACGTCAGTAGTATGGGAACTACTTTGGCGCCCCCCACCTAAAGTCGATATGTCCCCACCACCACACCTGTCAGAGTAGCACGGCTCCNAAACCCAGCACAAGATGAAAAAGCATTTAGCCGTTATATGGCTTCTGGCTACTCCAGACTCTTATAGGTAATTGTTAACTGTTTTTGACAAGTAGATAAGATTATGGCCCTCGGTATGTCGGCTTGGGTTAGGGGTGTGAATTGGTGATTACAATTGTAATAACATTTATCGTGCCACTAATGATGGATACATTGAAAATTTTCATTATTCTACCATTATTTCAACCATCTTAAGCCACCATCTCAATAAGCCATTGAATGGATCTGATAAAAGAAACATTTCTTAATGTCACTGTACATTGGATTGTCTGTTTATTCTTTTTATAGATCGATAGGAGACCGATTCGATATGAGTAAAGCAGATTTATTCAAAGTATTTGTAAAAGTAATAACTGGTTTGAATACAATGGTACCACGAATTATTGAGTGGCCAAACGAGGCGAGGAGACGTGTGATAGAAAGAAGTTTAGCAGGGGTAGCTGGCATTTCAGGAGTGGTGGGCATCATCGATGGCACATATGTAGAAATGAAAGCCCCGCAACAACATCCAGAAGCATATGTTAATCGGAAATGTTTCACCTTTATGACGTTACAAGGCATTTGTGATCATGAGTTACTCTTCCCTGACGTTTTCACAGGTTATTCAAGTGCTGTGAGTGACATTAGAATATTTCGAAATTCCGATATCTACCCGAAATTTCGAAACAATCCTCAGTCCTATTTCGAAGATCATCAACGCATTCTTGGTGACAAGGCCTATCCTATAAATAAGCTGTGTCTCACCCCCTACATCGCTCATCATGCATTGACTCGATGTGAAACAAATTTCAATACTAAGCACGCCAAAACCAGAACAGCTATTGAGCGTTGTTGGGCACTACTTTATGGACGTTTCCGATGCTTGAGCTGTCTAAATATGAATCGCATGGATCTGGTTCCCGCGACTATTGTAGCGTGCTGCGTGATTCATAATATATGTCGCATAAATGAAGATGATTTGACAGAGGTTTTCGAAATTGAGGGTCAACAGCATTTGCAGTATATAAGAGATGATGATGAGATTGCTGATGACCATGAGCTTGACATACTACGACAGGAATGAATCGTGCGCCGTGATAACTTGGTTACAGCGCTCAATGCATAGACCAATGTATACTATCACTACCAAATTGTCCAAAGCAGAATCTCCAAAGGTTTCATCCACGAATAACGACTAGTGTCGGCGATGAATTGTGTATAGATTACTTCACCACGTGGTGCAGGTTCTAGTTCATGAGAAATCAATTCTGCACATCCTCTTCACAGTTTCTCATCATCATTTTGACACAACTGCAAGATGGACTGCACTCAGTGGACTTCTTGAATCCGTAAAATCATTTTGGAAGAATTGATTCAGTAGAGAAGAGGCGACAGGAGATCAGTATCATTTATAGATTGTTCTGTGAATATCTAGGGAAGGAAGGAGTTTAGCAGAATTCAACAAGACACCTTTTTTGTGGAGAATTCTGTCGACTATAATGAGGTCGTTTGATGTTGTTGGATAAATCCTATAGCTTCCGAGATATTTGCAAAATAGTCTGTAGAATTTTTTTATGATCGCTTTCCGAGGCGTTGCTGCAACATTGATGCATCGGATATTTGTCTCATTTTAGTCCGTCACATCTATGCTTACGAGTTTGATGTGTTATGTTGTATGTTACCTTCAATCATATTTTGAGAGTAACTAATTGAATCACAAACTACGACAGTAGTTTACTATGTGGACTACTACATTCTTTTTTTACTATGCAGTGAATATGTTCATAAGAAAATTAACGAGTTACAATGGTCGGTGAATTTGTATTGAACTGTGTAAATTCGTTGAATAAGATTTTATGAAATTGAATACATTGTTAAAATCCCTTTCAGCGTGTATTTTCATGAAAAAATAAATTGAAAAAAAATATAAGACTAAATTTCTGTCTATCATGATTCTGATAAAACACTCAATGAAGGATCGATCAAATTTTCTCCATTATTGAATAATATTATTTCGCTCTTGTGGTTTTTGTGTTTATCGTCTTTTGCCCTCTCCTTAATAGATGCGAGTCTTACTGCCAGATTGGTTTATTCAAGAGTTACACAATATTATTAATAAAACACCATAATTGAATAATGGTCTCATCGGAAAAGAACTAGGAACTTTCGATTCCAAAAATGATTCTCCTCCATTAACCTTCGTCAAAAATTATCGGTTGCGGAAGATATATGAAATCAGTGGAAAGTTGACACCAATTTTATTATGAGCAATTACTTTTATTCAGTCTCTTTCAGTGAATAGAATACTAAAGCTCTTATAGAGGGATAGAAAATAATGGTAGGCACTCATTTTCCAATTCAAATTGGAATCTCATTATAATAACTTGGAAATTGATGCCGAAAGAACACAGTTATATGAAAAGTATAGAATACCCATAGGAGATTCCTTCTATGGATATTCTATACTATAGAGATTATCTATATAGTATAGATATTATATTCTCCTATATCTATCTATAGGAGATTCCTCCTATGAGTATTCTATACTTTACAATATACAGTACCCGTAGTGCCCTATAACTATATCAACTTATATTTTCAGCGGCTATGAGTAATATCACTGACAATTGCACTTCCATCGATATATCTACTGACTTACTGTATCTAGGCGGGTTTATCACTATTATTCCTCATAAAACTAAATTGTAATACGAATCAGTCTTCTAATATTCGTGAATTACAACAGTTTTAACCAACTAATAAAATTCAGAAGTGAAATGGTAAGACGAGATCAGCCACATTATTTTCGGTATAAGGTTTTCATGAATACCGTTGAATCTTAGGGAAATTGACGTGTCCTTATAAGGACCTTGTTTGTGGACTAGAGTGAGAGCTAAGAAAGAGTCTTCATGAGAATTTGCTAATTCCTTGGAATTCTCAGATATAAAAAAAAAATGATCGAACGGAAATTTACTGATCTTGATTTACATATTCACTACAAAATTATTCTCATGACATTTATCAAGTATGTAGGTTTAAACAAAACAAAAGTAAACCAAATGGAAAGCTATAAAAGTGGAAACATTGTCTAAAGTGTTACTTATGATCCTCTTCAGAGTCCTCTTCTCCTCTGTTCCTCTTATGGCTAACCAATTGTTTGACTACATTTGTCATATCTTTGAGAACATCAAGGCAACCTCTCTGTACTGCCATGGAATCGGCATGACGTTGTTGGATATCTTCCGACCTGTTCCTTGGTTCAACTTCCAGCGCAGCAAGATGCGTTTCGAACTTAGTTTTTTTCAATTTTGGAAGTTGTTGGAATCCTGGCCCATCCTTTTCAGCACCTGAATTCTCAATGATACTCTCATCTTCTTCGTCTTCTGAGTTATGACTGTCTCGTAACTTAGGAGATATATTCTTTGCTCCTCTGAAAGATGAAGCGATCGCAATAGGTTTTGCTCTAGGATCGTCTTTGAAAATCTTATATATCTCATCAAAATAATCAAAAGAAATAGGCGCTGCACCTGTTGATTTATTTGATCTATTGTCCAGAGCCTTATAAAAAGCTGCCTTCAAAGCTGCCCATTTATCTTTGATTTGTTAACGGTCATGACTCCCATCTTGATTTGCTTGCTCGCGCTCAAAATCTTTCCACACCATATCATTTTTCACAGTAGTGCTTACGGACTCTTTTTGATGGCTGACATAAAAATTGATCAGAGCCAATGTCTGAGCACGTGACCACCCACATCGAATCTTTTTTGATGTAGAGGATGTTCTAACCGTATTTTTAGTACTCTTCACTTTTTCCTCCATTGACTCAGCAACATTGGCAGTATTGACATTTGTTGATGGATCGGGTGATGGTGGAGGCGTCGACTCTGTGTTGTACCATTCGGCTTTACCTAAAACAATGTATTGTGAAATTCTGCTATGCGCTATAAATAGAAGCGTTAGAAAAATCTATTAACCATTATCGAGGACTAGGACTTGCCCTTTCTCATTTGTGATGAAATTTACTGCCTTATCATGTACTATTTGTAACTCACTCGGTTCATCAACTTTCTCAGTTTTCTTCATTTCTTTTAAAAAAGGAAGATATTTTTATGAGTATATTGAAGGGAACAATATGAGCATTTCCTTGAAGGATATAATGAGACACTAACCAGTTATTTTACATTGATGTTTATCCACTTATGTAGGTGATTGAATCGCTATTTATATATCTATATTATTCCCGAAATTTTAGGGGTTATCTGTCAGCATTGCCTACTTCGTTAAATGTGAACGATATAATGTACCACGCTCCAACGGAGTATAGATCACAACAGCTCATTGCGAACACTCCTCGGTGTTATACCTCACCAACGGCAAATCACTTGACTATTTCGAACGATTTCGGGTAAAGTTTACCAAAACGTTACATACCTTGTCATTGGAACCACGTCCAACAAAAATGCTATTAAGTGGCCATGTAATTTAAACGGCAGTTACCATCAGAGTCGAAAATTTCGATTCAATTTTTTTTTACGGTGGAACCATCATTTTTGGAAAATTAAATTCTTAGGCCCTTCATTCCATGATTATGAAGGACCTAAGAATTTGATTTTTTTCAGAAATGATGTCCCCCCCTTAAAAAAAATGGATCGAAATTTTCGACTCTGGTGGTAACTGCTGTCTAAGTTACATGGCCACTTAATTAGGGCGATTGTCGTCCAATTCACGAACTTATGGCGCCACGTGGCTAAACGTTTTTCAATGGATTAGACAAGGAGAGCATGCATTTAGCCAACTTTGCTCAATGCTTTTCGCAAATGGAGTGTATAGCCACCTGCTGCCATCTGTTGCCGCTTTCCGCGAATGCACTAATAATTAAGAATTTATTATGGATGAAGGTCCATATATGTAGCAGATTTTAATTAGAAAATGGATAATCAACCCTTCTAATCATTAGAAAATCATTTGGAGTTATTTGGAAAATAGTTTTCGATGTTTGGAAACCAAAATATTAATTAATATTGATTAATTAAAAATTGGCCGTACGATTGGCAAAAATGTCCAAAATTTCCTTCTTGACATTGTCAGTCACCGCAAAATTATTTGGATAATCGGTGGTTCATATACCAATGTTTGGAAAAATTCATTCAATTGAATATCAATTGTTTATTAACGAACATTGGTTTATGAATCAATCGATTATCTAAATGATTTTACTTTGACTGACACTGTCAAAGATGAAATTTTCTACATTTTTGCTGAATTCTACGGCCAATTTTGAATTGATTAATATTAATAATACTTGGAATTCCACATATTGAAAACTATTTTGCAAATATCTCCAAATAATTTCCTAACGATTAGAAAGATCAATTATTCATTTTCTAACATGCATATTGAGCATATGCCATGTATGGAGCTTCAGGAACCACCGGGAACAGGGAATACGAGACGATGAAGCATAGGAGACCCCCAGTCTAGATGTTGTTATGTCCAAATTATTTCCAGCCTAAAATCTAACCCCCCCCCCAATTCCAAAATAACCAACAGCGCACAAGATTTAGATCACACAAAAAATGCAATAAAAAGTAAACTAAGGGCCAAACAATTAAAGTACATAGGACCAAAATTGTTCCCCCGGATGAAACAAAACCCTCGAGCCCTCATACACCCCGTTTGGACCATCACGAAACCCACCCCCACTACCCTACTTGAAATAAATAAATTGCCCCCAAACCAAATTAGAAAACTAAAAACCCCGCACCCTACAAATACGTCAAAAGTTCCGTGTCATAACGACGAAACTTTTGACCCATCACCTAAAAAGAAATTCCGAACACTGCAAAAGTTGTTAACAAATAACTTTAGCAGGGGTCCAATTTTTCCCTAACAAAACATTTTTACTAAAACCCAAAATAATAGTTTTACAGAAAACTTCCCATAACAAAAAACGACCGGGCAATAAAACCAAACCATCCAAGCCCTCACTCAATCCAATCGGATAACAACTACAATTGCTAACAACAAATTCCCCTAAAAATTTTCGACCAACCCTAATAAATAGTAAAACACCATTCCAACCCAAAACAATATCTCCAAAAACGCCACACAACCGGCGCAAGAGAACAAGCCGACAATTTTGACTTTCCGACCATAAATAAAAAAGCTAGCTAAATAAACAATATCTAACTAACAATCGATGTGACACCCAAACAACGCGTTCCCGTGAAAAATGTCCTTAACAAAAATTATTCGAATCATCAAGACCTTTCCGGCAAGCCAAAACAACCCTCAAAAATAATAACCCCTAAACCACCCCCCAACCTCAAAATGAACATAAAACACATTCCAATAACTCTATTCGGCACAACCGATGTCGGAATTGCCGATAAGCAATTTCAACATCGCGCTAAATTCCTTAGGCCACTTCAAAGTTCAATAAGTTCCAAAACCCAAGGAGTGGAATCAGCGAAAATTCGATCACGTGAACAGGTGTTCCACGTCGAATTTTCGTCATAAACCTCCAAATCACCAACTCCCACCCCTTAAAGCCAACGCCTAAATTCAAAACCTAAAAACTACAATCGATAAAAGTAAAACTCAGTCGTGTAAAATCCGGGGAACGAATACGTTCTCCAATCTTCGGTAATTCGGGTTCTTCGGTACCAAGTCGGAAAAAGTCAATCTTTCGTCGTAGCTCCCAACAGAAATCGGTGAACTGAATTTCGAGGGTGGTCTCCTGAGCGCTGACGATCGCTGCCGAGAGTTGATCGATTTTGGATATACGGAAATTTGAGTTATCAGAAATCCCTCATCAAAATTAACGAGAATTTTCACATTCTCTAATATCATAAAAAGAAGAGATACACTCTTTCGGCTTTTAAAATCACGCGTAGGAACCAATAAGGCTTTCGCGACTCCAAACGCCTTACCGTATAAGTGTGTGTATACTTATAAATAATTCGGATCCTTAATTTAAAAACACTAAAGAACATTGTGAAAAATACGTTATAGAGAGAAATTGTAATAAATATCTGGGACGACATTTCCACCTATTAAGGATTACATCTCCAATAAGCTGAAAACTTGTAAGTAAATCTTAAGTAATATATTGTTGTAAAATTTGAACTTTGTGATTCGCGGAAAATCAAGCAAATCGAACTGCAAATTTCCCCTGACAGTGTAAACTTGGATTAACTGGTTAAAACAAACAATTAAAGGTGTTACACATTCGAGAAATTCGCTTAAATCATTTCAAACATCCCTTCGAAATATAAAAAATGAAACTTCCGGTCCCATTACCTGAGAAGAAAACAAGTTAAGAGTGCAGAATAAACAAATTGCTCATTAACACTCGGGAAAACGCGATAAGAAACATTTTATCGCACTTTATTTTTATTGTTAACCAAGGAGTCCTTGATACCTGATCCATTAGAGTCCAATGAATGAATTCAACGAATAAATCAGCTTCTAAACTCAGGATTTTCCCGCCTGAAAAATCCTTCGGACATAACAATGCTATTATGTCTATGGCGTACACAGCAACAGCTGAAGAGCAGTAACTAACCAATTTTACCAACGGGTTTTTTTGTTTGCTCGCTAGGGAATTTCGGTTTAATATTTTGACCGTCCCCAAATCATTTTTAAAAAATTCATTTTGTAGGAAAACGGAGTACTTAATCAAAAATCGGACTCCGTAATAGATTCTCCCGGAATGTTCTCTTTATTCTTGATACACATATTTACTTTTTGGAATCGTTTTTCACGTAGTTTTGTCCAAATACAGATATCGATGAGTCGTGTTATGGACTGTCAAATGCACATACCCCTCCCTCTGATTTGCCGTTGGCGGTAAAAATGACGAATTGAAGACATCGTTATCAGAACATTTCAATGAAAAGTCTGCGATGAATATTATTGATCACTCCGTTGTCACTTCCAGTAATTGTTTACGCTCCTTAATTACTTCAGCTGAAAAAAAAATTTGAGAAGGGAAAAAATGGTCAAAGGTACGAAGAATCAATGAAACAGTTTGCTTTATACATTTTCATATTAGGAGGGAGAAATCTATATGAAGTTCTTCATCAAAATCTTCCTACTCATTTTTATCACCCTCTACAGTAGGACGATGTATCCAAGGCATCAATGAGCCCATTCGCGAAGGAGTTTTTTGATTTCGTGACCTGAGCAGTGACCTGACTTACCGTGTCGAAATTTGCCGATGCGTGTCTGGATAAGCGAAGATGGGACCAGAATCACTGGTCGCATTCAATATGATTCTCGATTCAACAAAATCATTGGGTTCGTGTTACCGTTGGATGCTAATGGACTACCAATTTTGGATACGTATGAGGCTTCATCGGCAGAAAAAATTGAGAAATCCTTTGAGCTGGGTACCATCGCTAACTATGGGTATGTGATAATGGCTCAACCTCTCCGGGAAGGAGTTGCCCTATTTTGTCTTGCTTTTTTTGGAACCGATAATCGTTTCAAATCCGATCACGTTATTCGTCGATGGGAGTGGATGAAGCAGCAAGCCGCACTTGAAGGTATCACGATTCTTGGTTCTTCATCCGATAGTGATACTCGCTTAATGAAAGCTATGAAACAAAACTGTATCATCCAGGACCCGGTAATTCTACATGGATGGAAGGACTGGTTCATTGAATCTGTGACGTAATCAGCAATGAGTGTTCAAGACGAGATACATATTGGTACTAAAATACGTAATGTTTTCTTGAAGCCATCAGTTCTTTTACCTGTTGGACAATTTATGGTATCATCAGCTCATTTACGAATATTAATATTAATTGATGCGATACCCAAACAAGACCATGGATTGACCACAAGTGATTTAGATAATGATGATAAAATCAATTTCAGATCGGTAGAAAAGATTTGTTGTACCACAGTCACAACTTTGCTATCTCAAGTTGGTGATTCCAATGGTACCAAAGTTTTTTTGGAAACACCGAGGAATATTTTGGACAGTTATATGAGGAAAGATCTCACAGCTATGGAGAGACTTCATATGATGTGGATGAGTATTTTCTTTCTTCAACTTTGGAGACAGTGGATTGTTGAGCATGGGTACCGTACGTCGAACAACTTTATCACTAGCAATGCATACACTTGGATTGAATTAAACGCGTACGCCCTCATTGTAGCAATAATTAAATTCAGGGCACAAGGAATATCTCACCTTTTCATCCCATGGTTATTCAACAGTCAACCCTGTGAAAAGTTCTTCCGTGTGGCACGATCACTCACATCACCTTATTCAACTATAATAAACTTCAGTATGTTGGATTTCACTCATCGTCTCCAGCAAATACAATTTCAAACTCA